AGACTCTCCTGCCCCTGGTCTGAGACCACGGGCTCCAGGCTGGCATTGTCAGGAGCTAAGCAGGAGACTATGCTCTGGAACTTGATCAAGGTTTCCAGGCCTTTTCCTGAAGGAGCCAGTGTATGTTGCACTGGATACAGCTTTCCAAAGGGTAGTGAGTACCACATTCCATGGTTTCTGGGCAAGGAATGCTCTTGAATACCTGGGCAGTTTTCTTCCTCTCCCCTGTGGTCTGCTTTCACTCGTTTTAATGTTTTTCACATAATTTATTTGACCCATTCTATATGGAGAGATACCTTGTTCAACGTAGACACAGGGGTGTGTGTTTGGGGTGGGGGGGGTGGAGAGGTGCCTTGGTCCTGCCTCAGTGAGATGATGGGACAGACTTAGTTATTTCCTAGGGGAGACCTTACACTCTCTGAGGAGCAGATGGGGCAGGGAGGAGCAGGAAGAGAGGAGGGAGGGAGGGAGGGAGAACTGGGATTGGAATGTAAAAAGCAAATTAATTAAAAAAAAGAAAAAATACTATTTGGGGCTGGAGAGATGACTCAGAGGTTAAGAGCTGTGGCTGCTCTTCCAGAGGTCCTGAGTTCAATTCCCAGTAACCACTTGATGGTTCACAACCATCCATAATGAGATCCAGTGCTCTCTTCTGGCATGTAGGCATACATGCATACAGAACAAAGAAATAAGTCTTTAAATTTTTAAAAATTTATTTGTATTTTATGTCCGTTGGTGTTTTGCTTGCATGTATGTCTGTGTGAGGGTGTAAGGTCCCCTGGAACTGTAATTAACAGACAGTTGTGAGTTGCCTTGTTGGTGCTGGGAATTACACCTGGGTCCTCTGGGAGAGTAGTCACTGCTCTTTACCGCTGAGTCATCTCCTCAGCTCTCATCTCGAGTTTAAATTGTGTGCCTGCATGTTTGCATATATGCCATGTGTGGAGGTACCTACAGAATTCAGAAAAGGGTGACGAACCCCAGAAGCTGGAACTGAAGTTACAGGAGGTTGAGATCCACCTCACATGGGTGCTGGTAACCAAACTCAGGTCCTCTGCAAGGCCGGCAAGCACTCTCCTCTGCTGAGCTGTCTCTGCAACCACCTCATTTTTATTTATGTGTAGGAAAACACCTAAGAAATAATCTAAAGTCCACCCCCCACGCCTTCACACCCTGTTGTGTTATCAATGGGAGAGAGTGGCTGTCCTATCTCTCCACCCAGAGAAAGGCTGAAGTAAATAAAGTTCAGAACCGAGGCCAATGTCTTCATTAGGTCTAAACAAAGACACATCTGGAGGGAAGCAGGGATGAAGAAAGGGAAGAGGAGAGAAGGGAGAAAAGGAAAGGAGAGAAGGATGAGGAGACGAGAGGAGAGGAGAGGAATTTGGCTGGTTTTTTTTTTTTCTTCCTGAGACTAAGACTAACACTTTAAAGACCTCAGGGAGGAGAAACTAAACAGTATGTAGACCGGGGTGGGCCCCAGGCAGGGGCTAGTTTCCTGATGCCTCCCTGGCATCTTACTTTTCTTGTCCTCAGAGCCAGGATGAAGCTGCCGTTGGACTGGGGCAGAAGCAAGAAAAGGGTGCAGGTAGAAAAGTGTAGGAGGCTGGCTACAGGCCAGTTCTGCCAAAGGCTGAACCTCTGTGCCCCAGGCAATGGGTCACCTGTCTGGGAGCGGGGAGCAGGAGAGAGGAGGAAACATCTGAATCTGAGGCTGGGGTCCTCCAGCCCCACGGACAAGCTGCTGTGAGTACAGTGCTGGCCTCAGACACTGTAACAGCAGACTTGCAGCACAGCCCTCATCCTCCTGAACTGTCAGAAACCTGCACCTCTTGGTCTGAATAAAATGTGTGTATACTTGAGTTGTCTTTGTCCCTGACATGTCAACAGAGAACATGGTCCTACTGTCTTGGTTGGCCCAGGGATCTTTCTGCAGCTGCAGTGGGGAAGTTGTAGAGATGTCACTGATCACTGCCTTTGTCCTGGGGAGCACTAGCCTTCAAGAAGTCCTCTCAGGAGACAAGAAAGAAAGTCCTAATAATGTATGCCACATTTTTGGAAATATCATTTGATCCATACAAAAACAAATATCACAGCAGAATAATTGTAGACACACTCACAAGCACAAACACACACGGAAAAAGAAATGAATGCAGGATATGGGGGGAAGAGAGAGAAATCAGAAAAAAATGAGAGAAAAAGTAGAAAGAGAAGAATTGGATAGCCATTTAGAGTTCACAGATACTTTTTGTGTTATTCCAGCAGAGAAGTTAGTCCCTCGGCCCTGTCGCCCTGGCCCCAAGCCAAAGACTTTGGAACTGAGCCCAGGAGTTTCATTGACCAATGCCTCATGCTCTGTTTATTCTTGCAGTGCTGGAACTGAATCCAGAACCTTCCTCATTCTGGGTAAACATTCTGCCATCCAGTTACACCCCCAGCTTCTTTGCTACTATTTGCTATTATAAAGAAGGGTCTCAAGCAATCCTCCTGCCTCAGTCGGCCAGACCCCGAGGTTCCCCATGTGTGACACCAAGCCAGCACTCAGCTCTCTGCTTTTCATCCATGGGAGCCCTGGGCAGCTGGATGCAAGTCAGAGTCTGGCGATCCGCTCCTGCACTTAGAAGGCCGAGTCAGGAGGATCATTCGAGTCAAAGGAACCAGGCCAGCCTGGACTGAACAGAGCAAAACCTGTCCACACAAAAGAGGAAAACGGGAGAGGGAAAGAAAAGAAAGGAGGAGCCAGGAGAGGAGAGAGTAGAAAAAGGGAAGAGAGGAGAAGACACAGAGAGGGGAAAGACAGGGAAAGGGTTTCTGTGGGTCCCTAGCATCTTACCCTTCTTGTTCCCAGAAGAAGAGTGTGGAGCCATGCAGGGCATGTGGGGGGCAGGGGCGGTTAGGAAGCAGAGCTGAGAAGCTGGGACCCAGTGCAAGGTAGAGGGGGATGGGCACTGCTCAGGCTGATCAGAGCGACTTCCTTCTCTGCGAAAGGCACTGGGACCCTCATTTCTCCCAAACACCCATCACTGGAGACAAATGAAGGGGCGAGAAGCACTCCAGCAGGTGATAAGGGTTTCCTGCACACGGTGGAGGCCCATGGCCTCCTCGCCAACCGCGGGCGCCCCCTGCCAGCCTTGGTCTGCAGCGCACCGCCCTGGCCAGCCAATGAGGGCAGTTTGATGGCGTGTCCCAGGCGCCGCAGGTATATAAGTGCAGCTTGCTGCTGGTTCAACACACTTCTGACCCTGACAGACTCAGGAAGTAGTCACAATGGTGTTCTCTGAGGACGACAAGAGGAGCATCAAGGGTATCTGGAACAAGGTTGGCGGCCACCTCAGAGAATATGGCGCGGAGGCCCTAGAGAGGTGTGGCCGGGTCTCTGCTCTGGAAGGGTCGTGGGATCCAAAGCAGTTCTGGTGCTCAGCCGGCAGCCCCTAACTGAGCTTTCCTGTGGCCTCAACTCTTCCCGCCTTCTTCCCACAGGATGTTCTTTGTCTACCCCACCACCAAGACCTACTTCCCTCACTTTGATTTGAGCCACGGCTCTGCCCAGGTCAAGGGCCACGGCAAGAAGGTCGCAGACGCCCTGACCAATGCCGTTGGCCACCTCGATGACCTGCCCGGTGCCCTGTCCGCTCTGAGCGACCTGCACGCCCACAAGCTGCGTGTGGACCCTGTCAACTTCAAGGTGTGTGCTCGGGTCTGAAGGCGGCTTGGGCGTGGGTGGGGTGGGATGGTGTAACAGGGTCTGGGACCCGCAGGGAGGGCGTGGGGGTCCCTCGTGCCCAGAGCAGGGAACACAGTGGTTCCACAAAAGGGGCCCAGGCGACTGACTAGGTGGGTGTTTACTGCCAAGGACTGACCCTTCCTGTCTCCGCAGCTCCTGAGCCACTGCCTGCTGGTGACCCTGGCCAACCACCACCCCGCCGACTTCACCCCCGCTGTGCACGCCTCTCTGGACAAATTCTTTGCGTCCGTGAGCACCGTGCTGACCTCCAAGTACCGTTAAACTGGAGCCCCGGGGCTGCGTCCTGCGGGCTTGCCTTCTGGCCAGGCCCTCCTCCCTCCCTCGCACCCGTACCTCTTGGTCTTTGAATAAAGCTTAAGCAGGACTAAGTAGGAATAAAGCCTGTGTGACTAGGTTGTGTGCATCTGCAAAGGTGCCCAAAATTGTGTGGGTAAGCCTACAAGAAGCAGTGTTTCTCCACCTTCCTAATGCTGTGATCCTTAATACAGCTCATGTTTTGGTGACATAAAATTATTTCGTTGCTATTTCCTATCTATAATTTTGCTACTGTTGTGAATTCTAACGTACTTACCTATGATCTGCAAAGAGGTCACAACCTAGGGTCTAGTTGCAGGCTCCTTTGCTGAGCCAGAAGGCCAGACCAGAGCAGGGAGGAAAGAGAAGGGGAAGTAGAGGGAAGATTAGAGGGGTCAAGCAGTCCTCTGCCCACGGTTTCCAGACAACCTCTTGTTCTGCAGTGCCTGGTTGGGTTCAATGCTACCCCTGGGTTTCCCACCAGATCCAACATGGATTTGCTGGAATACATCTTCCTTGCTATCTTGCATTCTATGCAGATGCATATTAACAAAAAATTGGCCCAGCTCAGCACTCAGTTTGGTATAAGTACGTCAGATAGAGCTGGAAGGCATAACCTAATGCTCTCCTAGATATACATCCACCTTACATAGCAGAACCTGGGTTTGATGTATCAGGCTTGGCATCAATACATCCCCATCCCTCGTAAAACCCTGGGTTAAGACAGACATACCTGATTTCAAGGGCTGTATTTCTCAAAAGAAAAAGACAAACCTGGGTAGGAATGAACCCAGGCAAGAACCACAAAGTCAGGGGTTGTTAGGAATTCTGGGCCCAAGAGCCATCTGTGGAAAAGTTATAGTCCTAGAGCCATCCACAGCACACTGTAAGCATTAGTAGGTGAGTGGATGCTAGATCCACTTCTTCTCATTCTTGTGACAAAATACCAGACAAGAGCAACTGAGGGAAGGAGTTTTATTTTGGTTCACAGTATAAGGGTACAGTCCTTGTGGTGGGGAAGTCACGGTTGCAGGATCTTAAGGCAGCTGGTTTCACTGCATCTGCAGTCAGGAAGCAGAGATGATAGCTGGTGCTCAGCTCTTTTCCTCCTTTTTATTCAGTCTAGGACCCAGGATTATAGGATGGTGCAGCCTACAATAGGTGGGTCTTCTCACTGAAACCTCTGGAAACACCTTCACAGACACACTTAGGGGTGTGTTTCATGATGATTCTAAAACCCATTGAGTTGATCAGATTAACCATTGGAGTGAGCAAATAACAAGCAGCTCACACTCAAGACTAAAAATAATCAGATTACATCATGCCGCTGAGTTTTGCAGACACCTTGAGTAGAAGCCAACACACCAAAGGCCATACAGCGCGCAAGAGTCTGTGTTTGTGAAATATCCAAATGAGCAAACTCTAGGGATAGGAAACATGTTCCTGGTTGCCAGGGGCTTCAGGAAGGAGCTGGGCAATTCTGGCTAGTGGGCTGGTGTTTCTGTCTGAATGAAAATATCCTGCAACTTGCTAACAGCGATGACTGCACAACTGTGGCTACACAAACATCACTGACTTATACACATCAGAAATGGCTGTAATGGGTTTGTTATATGACGATTTGCTGCATTTGCTATCATCACTGGAATACATCACAAGCATTCCATAAATATCACTGCTCTGAAAGGAACTTGTGCTAGGAGTCAGACACCTAACAGCTGTCCATTTAATTATCTGAGAAGTAATTACTTTCATTTTAGCAGTAAGCTAACTCAGGAGGCAGAAGATACTGACAAAGATAAAACACACACTAAAATTCAGTGTATTCTAATAATTCATGCCAGGTAGGAAAAAAATCTAAGGTTTGGGAGCCCATGGAAACTAACGGTTCCCAGGTCACAGCTAACTCTGGAAACCAGAGCTCATACATCACAGGACCAGACTGCAGATGAAAGCCCAAAGTCAGGTGGCTCTCAGATTGACCATGCTGTTGCCAGAGGGGCCCTCATTATAGTAAGCAACCCATCCCAGAACTCCCTGGACCATTGTCAAGACTGCCTGGCCCTACTCTGACTACTTCTGACCCACCAAGCAGGCCTTGACAATGACACATGAGTGAGCCACAATACTTAGGTACTGATTTCCAAGCATTGCTGAGCTGGAGATGGGTCCTCCAAGGGGCACATCCTACATCTCTCATGACTTCTGAGTACTAAAGGCCTACCCTCTCACTGCATGGGTTAAGGTCCAAGAGTCAAAGATTCCCAAGTTAATATGATGAAAGTCCAGACTTTTGCCTGTTAAAATGATCATGAAACATTAAGAGATTCAAGAGGCCTATAAACTGGCAGGCCTAGGGTTATCAGTCACAAATATTGAGGCTGAAATTGGCCAATCTGGGCAAATAACTGCATCTTTTACTCCTCAGAAAATAACAGTAAGCCCTCTAACTGCAGGAGTAATCTTGGTCAAACACTCTCTAAGGATGCTTCATGTTCATCCTCCTTACTTTTTTCAGATCCATTATGGGCTGGGCCTAATACACTGATAGGCTACCCTTCCCTGTAGCAAGATGGGGTACAGGGCTGTGGGTGTTGGTGGATAGCTTAGGTGCCCAGAACATCTAAAACAGTCTCCAAAACTAATACAGTGCCATCTATTGGCACAAGTGTGACCTACAAGAAACAAGACAAAAATCACTTCTAATTTATCAGGAAGGCTTGTGGTAAAAGCCTAATGTTGCCAGATTCTAGACCTAGGATAGGAATTAGGTCCCCAGGCCTAGAGCTGATCATGTAGACAAGGGGACCAGGGGCTACCAAATCCTGTTTTCATCTGATTTAAAAGAGAAGGTAATGCTTTCTCATTGGTCACTGCAGAAACCTGATTTTAACCTGCTTCCCAATTACTATGCCCCAGACAGAGGAGTATGTCCTGCATATCCATAGTCCTTCAGCTCTTATTCAATGTAAGGCAAACTCATTCTGGATGAGCAAGCAGAAGAGCCTGTAGTCATCTCCCAGAGCACATGCATGACACACACTATATGACACAGGGAAAACACAGCATGGATTTGGGAAGTATTAGAATCACCAGTCAGAGTTAGGACTGCCCTGCCCAATGTACTGGTGTCACCTATGCACCAAGGGCCCAGAAAGAACAGGGTCTAGGAAGGGCATATCTGCTCTTCCTGAGCTGGACGTCCACCGGCTCCTGGGCCCTGGCCTGTGGGTGGTACTGGTTATTTCACCTCACAAAAGGCCCAGGATGAAAACTACTGGCTCTCCCAATTCTTGGGACTGGAACCTAAGAAGTAGCTGTCGTGGGCCCACAGGTTGCAGATGGTAGATCCCATAACTTCTTGCATAATAGCCTGAGCCACTCCCTACAGATACAACAAATCTCTGGATATCTGTTCTTCTAGCTCCCTTTCTCCATGAAAACCCAAATTAAGAAAACAGAGGTAAGCAGATCTCTGAGTTCGAGGCCAACTCTATAGAGTGAGTTCCAGGTCATCCAGGGTTACACATAGAAAACCTGTCTAGAAAAACCAAAAAGACAATAAAACAAAGCATCCAGATGTGTTGCCACAATCATTAGTGCCAGCTACTTGGGGAGAACATCCTTCACAAAAGACTGAGGCAAGTGGCCTTTCTGCAACTCTAGGGATCCTGACCACCCAAAGGACGATACCTAAACAAAGGGTCTGCCTACTGTAGCCCTATAGCTACAGTATGCCACATGTGTCCAAGAATTATCCTCCGAGGGTACTACAGGCCACAGCACAGAAATATTTCCAGTAACTTTACACCATGATAAAACAAAACAGCTGTTTCTCCATAGAAATTTATATCTAGATAGAAAATGATACAAACCAGACACGCTGATGCTGGCTCTGAGGACTGTCCAGTTATGTCCCCAAAGAGTCCAGGAAGCAAAATGTTCCTAGTATGAGTACACAGCTAGTCAAAATGTTCTCCTGGGACCAGGTACAGGCTTTTATTTCAGGAAGACAGCAGAGCAGAGCTAAATTGAATCTCAACTGGAGGCCAAGGGGCTAGAGATGAAACCTACACATGGCACCCGGGCACAAGCACGTAATCCCAGTGGTCCTTCAGGGATATTCCACCCTAACCCTTTCATACGGATACAGCTGGCTATGGAAAGCCTATTTCACACACCAGCACAGCAGGTACCCAAACACATCTTCTGTAAAAAGGAGCCTAGGGCAGCACCAGGACCCACACTACAAGACCTCAAGATCCTATGTGTGACCATCAAACTAACAGCTCAAGACAGCACCTAAACTTTTATAGGCATGGCACACAGAAGGGGGCTTTTATTATTTAACACAATCAATTAAAGTTCCCTCTGAAAAAAACTCTAAACCCCTCAGGTAAGTGAAGAAGCTCCTATTCTATTATCCTTTCTAATTGGGCTTCATTTTGGTCTTAAGGCATTAGTCCTCTGTGAGCATCAACATATAAGCCTGCCCCGAGTGTAAACCACCCAAGAGATCTGACCTAAGCTGTGAGCTTTTCCCAAGGACCTCCTGATTGGCAGGTAGGGGCCATGTATGTCTTTATTCCACCTAAGTAACAAAGTGGAACTGCAATGTAGCTCACCTGAGCTAAGGTTTCAATAATATAGCTCTCCCTAAGGAAATGAGTGTGTAATATGGCTGTCCCCTCCCACTCAGCCTGCTCTATGGTCTGCATTGAAATGCAGAGTGTGAGCAAGGCAGAGAAATCTGGCTTAGGTAAGTGTGTTGGGAGTATCCCGGCACACAGGATGCCAAAAGTTTAAGTGGTCAGACATTTGGTCAGTTTCCTAAGATAATGGCAGCACCAGCCTTTATTTCCACAGGTGCAGGGTCCTAGTGAAGTGCCTCTAGAGTAGAGGCCAGCAGACACCCCAACACAGCTGTCAGGAGGCAGCCGCCAAATTTATTTGTTCCTATATAACATAACCCCAAACACAGGAGCAGCTCTGAACAACTCTAGAAACTCACAGCTAGGGCCAAACAACAGAAGTTTTAACTACAAAAGATGAGTTGTATCCGGCAAATACAAAGGGTGATTTAGGCTGTGCTGAACATTTGTCAGACTATTTACAATGCCAGAGTCAGGGTCAGATCTCGCCAGCCTCCTTCTCCTCCGACCTTCTCGATGCAGTCTTGCCATTGGAGCTCTCCAGCCTCCAGTCAGTGGGCCCTCGCTCACTCCGCCCGTACTCCCAGGATTCCTCTCTCAATGAGCGCTCCCTGGAGAACCTGGGAAAGTGGAACCAGAGGCTCAGCAGAGGCTGCCATCTCCTACTGGCTGCTGCACAGGAACCAGTAAGGTAGACTCTCAATCCTGGACTAGGGAAGGCCATGATTCCCTACACACACTCAAGTGCCTTTTTTGGGGGATAGGGTGAGACCCAGACAGGGCTTCTCTATGTAGTCTTGGCTGTCCTGGAATTCACTCTGTAGACCAGGCTTTATAGAGATCCTCATGCCTTGCTTCCTAAATACTGGATTAAAGGTGTGTACCACCACGGCTGCCTGGCCTCAGGTGTCTCTTAGCATATCAGAAGGTAGCCAAGTCTGGTGCCTAACTGATCACACAGCTATCATTAAAAAGGGGGGAGGAGGCAATGCTTTGAACTGGGGATGGTAGCTTATACCTGTAATCTTTACACTTAGAAGGTTGAGACAGGAGTGATTAATTTTGAGGTCAGCCTAGACTAAGGAGAGAGATTTAGTACCAAAAGTAACTGATAAAAAGTAACATCTGAAAGGTTTAAGGGGCTGGAGAGAGAGGTCAGGATATGATGCTCTTGTGGAAGACTGAGCTCATTTCCCACCACCCATGTCAGGTGTTAGAATCACCAACTCCAGCTCCAGAGGATCCAAGACTTTTTGTCCACCAACACTACACACACACACACACACACACACACACACACACACACACACAAACATTTGTAACATAACACACTAGCACATAATAAAAATAAATCTTTAAAAATAAATTAACAAAAAGAAAAGATTTTTAATAAGGAAAGTTTTCAAAACAGAAACAAAGCAAATGGGAATACAACAAAGTTATGCATGTGGAATATGACCCAGTTGGTAAAGACAATGGAAAAGAGCAGAATGGAAAACCACGTAAGTCAAGCATGGTGGTATACACTTTGCATTTCAGCACTCGGGAGGCTGAAGGAGGAGGATCTTGAGTTCAAGCCAACCTAGATTACAAAGTGAGGGCCTGTCTCAAAACAAAATCAAAGTTACAAGCAGGATCTGTTCAAGACAAAACCTCAGCTGCTCTTTACCAAGTTAAAGTACATAAAGGTCAGCCAAGTGCAGTGCTACACAGAGGGCCAGTGAGAGCTCAACAGTCTTACACTATTCCAAGCACTGGGTGCCACTCTCCATTAACCAGGGCACCAACACAGGGTTCTAATCATCCACAGCCCAACCTTGTCCCTACTGTATGTAGTAGCTAAAAGGCCAGCATGACAGACCCCAGCAGACTTGGGAACACAAGAGAAAGGACTTGCTCCTGGCTGTAGCTACTGAGGAAGTCTGAGTAGTTACTTGTATTTTGCACTCCGGTCCCTGGAAGCCCGGCGGTGACCCCGGCTATGGCTCCGAGAACGACTGCGATGTCGCCGGTGTCTATCTCGGGACCTGGAACGGGAAAACTTTCGACGCTCTCGGGAGGTAGATCTAGATCGCCTCCGTCGACGATCCCGGGATCGTGACCTGTAAAACCCAAATGATTTTGAGAGGAAGACATTACTAGGGTCAACATTTCAAAGGTCTACCCCCACTCCTCTCCTCTTAGCATCTTTTGGCCTTCAGCCTTCGTAGGAGTTCTCTCTTTCCTCCCACTAATGTACAATTTGGGACTAAAGACTCCCTTGAGTCAGGCACTGGTGGCGCACGCCTTTAATCCCAGCACTCGGGAGGCAGAGGCAGGTGGATTTTGTGAGTTCGAGGCCAGCCTGGTCTACAGAGTGAGTTCCAGGACAGCCTCCAAAACAATACAGAGAAACCCTGTCTCAAAAAAAAAACAAAAACAAAAACAAAAAAACAAACAAACAAAAAAAGACTCCCTTGAATTAATCTGATGGCCAAACCTTTTCCCTGTGCTTGCTTTCCTGTGAAAGCATAGGACTAGGTCAAGCCTGGTGGCACATGCCTTTAATCCCAGAACCCAGGAGGCAGAGGCAGGTTGACAGGTGCCTAAAATTTAGGCCAGCCTGGTCTACAAAGTCAACTGAAGGACAGCTAGGGCCACACAGAGAAAAACCTGCCTCAAAAAAACAAAACATGACTTGGGCACTCCTAGTGGGTCTGCAGGCCTAATCAGACGCTCCAGAAGGTCTTCCCCTTTCCCTAATGGCAGCATGTGTCTGCATGTGTAGGACTTGAGGGGGGGGCTCTGCTGTGCTAAGCCTTAACCAATTCCTATGTTCTTCACAAGCCAGTGTTGCCTACCAAAGCTTGTGAAGCTGTAAACATAATTATTAAATGTTTCTGCATTAAAAAAAAAAAAACATTCAACCTGAGGATCCTGAGATGGATCTGGAAACCTACCTCCTGCGATCTCGGGTTCTTGATCCAGACCTAAACAGGAAAATAAAAAACACTTTAATCCCATCACCTAGGAGGCAGATGGATCCCTGTGAGTCTGAAGCCAGCCTGGTCTATACAAGAGTTCTAAACCAGCCAAAGAAACATAGTGAAAGCTCAAGAAAACAAAAAAAGTATCCTTCCAGAGAACATGTTACTTCTGGGTCTGATATCTTCTTTGAACTCAAACTAGATCCAACACATCTACCTGAGCATTTCTCAGGCATCTCACTGATTATAGCCAAATTCTACCCCTATATCTGGTTCCATCCTACCTGTCCTAGTTAAGGGGCAATTCCAGACTAGAAACCAAGAAACCAGCTGGACATGGTCTCAGCACAGTGAGGTAGAGACAGGCAGATTCCTGAGTGAATGACAGCCATGGATATATAGGAAAAACAAAACAAAGAAACCTGCCTCTCCCCCCCCCCCAAAAAACCACGAGGCTGGCTTGTCCTCAAACAAGCAAGTCCAGTCAATTCTACACCAGACCCATACCTGCATCCAAAATCCCATTAGCACCTCACGTGTGGGGGCTTTATGCTCAACACTTTACACTCTGCTTCTCAATGGGCAGGAACATATTACAATTTCACGTCTAATGGGAAAGTCTGTCCAGTGGCCCCTGTGACTCTGTGGCCCCTTCAGTCCAAAGCTAATTATTCCCCTACAGCAACACACAACCATGAGACTGCAGCTTAGCTACCATCAGCAGACACACTTTTGTCTTCCCTACTTGCTCAAGATTCCATGCCTTGCTGGGCGGTGGTGGCGCTTGCCTTTCATCCCAGCACTCGGGAGGCAGAGGCAGGTGGATCTCTGTGAGTTTGAGGCCAGCCTGATCTACAGAGCGAGTTCCAGAACAGTATCCAAAGCCACAGAGAAACCCTGTCTCGAAAAACAAAAACAAACAAAAATGAATCCATGCCTTTAGTTCCAGTACCAAGAACACAGAGACATGGGGATCTCTGTGAGTTTGAGACCAGTCTGGTGGTCTATGGAGCTAGTTCCAGAATATTGAAGTCAACACAAAGAAACCCTGTTTTGAAAACAACAACAAACAACAAACAAACAAACAAAAACAGAAAGATAAACCTCTCCAGTTTATCCCTTGCTTAAAGCAGTCAACGTCGTAGACAGTATATGTTACAGATTTAATTATTATTCTTTTTAAAGGCCACCCCAGAGCCCTGTGTGGTGGCACATATCCTAATCTCAACTACTAGGAGGCAGAGGCAGGCGCACCTCAGCAATTCTAGGTCAGCCTGGATTACATAGTGAGACCCTATGTGGTGTCCCCAAAGGGAGTGGCACTATTACAAGTATGGCCTTGTTGAAGTAGGTGTGGCTTTGTTGGAGGAAATGTGTCACTATGGGGTGGGCTTTTGAGGTCTCCTATGCTCAAGATACTGCCCAGTGTCTCAGACTTATTGCTTGCAGGTCAAGATCTAACAACCCTCAGATCCTTCTCCAGTATCATGTTTGCCTGCATGTTGCCTTCAAACCATGACTATGGACTGAACCTCTGAACTCTAAGCAAGCCACCACACGTTTTTCTTTATAAGAGTTGCCTTGGTCATGGTGTCTCTTTACAGCAATAGACACACCAACTAAGACACCCTGTCACAAAACAAAAAAACAAACAAACAGCCAGTTCAGTATGTGGCAAACATGAGTACTCCAGGTCATAGGACAGCAAACATCAGGTTCCTCAGGCTGGTCTACACTTACCTCCTGCTCAGCCGTTCCTCTCGCTCTCTCTCCTCTCTTCTCCTCAAGCGATCCTGATTTCTCTTCTCCTGCTTTTCAGCCACAGTTTTCTAAATAAATGACAATTGGAAAAATGAAGGAAAAGTACCAACTTTTAGAAAACAATATTCATTTTTTTGCTTTTGTTATTCGAGACAGGGTTTCTCTGTATTGCTTTGGAGGCTGTCCTGGAACTCGATCCGTAAACCAGGATGGCCCTGAACTCACAGAGATCCGCCTGCCTCTGCCTCCCTGAGTGGTGGGATTAAAGGCATGTATCACCAATGCCCAACAACCATATTCATTTTTAAAACACAACAAATGATCCTCAATGCAACAAACAGCAAAAGGCTCTGATACACTTTACTATCAAATTAGTATCAGCTTGAGCTAGCTGAAAAATATTAAGGACCTTTATGACCCACCACTAATGCTAACAAAAACCCTGTAATACAACATCTGGGCAGAGTGAATGAAATGAAGTCCTGAATGTGGGAATGAGTCACACCTCTTTATACAAAACTCACCACTCTTCCCTGCTTAGAGCAGGGATAGCATGAAAAATCATCATGCCTATCGAGTAAAGCAAGTACCTTCTAGATGAGAGAACACAGCAAGGCCCAGGTAAGCTGTCACATCCAGCACCTCAAACTCTACACCACCAGATAGGCTCATCCTTCATCTGAGCTAGGCACACAGGATAGTTAGCTCCAAAATTCCTTTTCCCATCTTCCTCCAGCAGCTTTGGCTGAGAACAGACTCCTGGGTGGGGCTTCACTTCCTTTCCCACTCCTGTCATTCACATATGACCAACAAAGTAAACACATGCCACAAAGATATAATGTAGGACATTAAAATGCTATTAGCAAGACAGAAACAAATGTTCTTGTTAAGACAAGGACTCAACAGATGGACCTTAACTGTCCATGTAGCTGAAGTTGATCTTAAAATTCTGATCTTGGCCATTAATCCCAGCACTTGGGAGGCAGGTGGATTTCTGTGAGTTCGAGGCCAGCCTGGTCTATAGATCGAGTTCCATGACAGCCTCCAAAATACAGAGAAGTCCCGTCTCAAAAAACAAACAAACAAACTTCTGATCTTCCACTGGGTGGTGGTAGTGCACGTCTTTAATTCCAAGACTTAGGAAGCAGAGGCAGGGCAACTTGGTCTACAGAGCGAGTTCTAGGATAGGCAGGGCCACAAAGAGAAACCCTGTCTCAAAAACAAAAAGAGACTGGGGGGGGGGAACGGGGACACATGACCCAGAAACATGTTTAAATCTAACTTAAAAAAGTACAGGTGAAGCCGGGCGTTGGTGGCGCACGCCTTGAATCCCAGCACTCGGGAGGCAGAGGCAGGCGAATCTCTGTGAGTTATATGTAATAAACATACAAACATCTGTAATAAGATCTGGTGTCCTCTTCTGGCCTGCAGGCACAGCATTATACATTTAAAAAAAAAAATAGATGATTGCCTGGTGCTAGTGGTTTGTGCCTTTAATCCCAGCACTTGGGAAGCAGAGGTAGGTGGATCACTGGGGGTTGAAAGCCAGCCTGGTCTGCAAAGTGAGTTCCAGGACAGCCAGAGCTGTTACACAGAGAAACCCTGTCTTTAAAAAACCACAAGGAAAAAGAAAGGCTAATGGTGACAAGACACAAGACTCCAAAGACTTCTCCAGAAAGAATGTATTAACATACCCTCAACTGATCAAGCTTCTCTCGGATCTGAATGAACCCCAAGTGTAACTTGCCCCCGAAGTGATCTGCAAGACGACGATCATTGTCATGGAGACCAAGGTAAGCTGAACAAACCTCACAGACTCGGAGCTTCTGCTGTTGAAAACTGGATGCAGGCATGGAATTTCTATATTCCTCCTATGGAGGGAAGGGATAAAGCTGAGGCATTTCAGAACTGTCACAATGTAGACCCCACAAAATGGAAAAACCTGAAATATAGGTAACATTTCACTACATGTTGAAAACTGGATTGTTCAGCTTCAATTTCATTGTTTATTTTAAAAGAACATTTAGAGGCAGGCAGTTTTCTGAGTTCCAGGGCAGCCAGAGCTACACAGAGAAATCCTGTCTTGAAAAACAAAAACAAAAACAAAAAAAAAAACCCAAAACATAACATTTACGTATGTCTTATCAAAAGCAACAAGGAACATTCAAAACATGGAGATAAGAACGACTGTTCTGAGATCAGCAGGGGAAGAGAAGACTTCAAAAAGTAAATAAATAAAAACTGGGGTTGGAGTGAGATGATTCAGCAGTTAAGAGCACCTGTTGCTCTTTCAGACCTGGGTTTGGTTCCCAGCATCCACACTGGAAATAACAATCATCTATGATTATAGTATGTCTTCTGGCTTCTGTGAGCACTAAACACATTGAACACATGCAGTGCATACATACAGGCTAAACATCCAAATACATAAAATGAAATTTTTTTCTTTTGGTCTTTCGAGACAGGATTTCTCTGTGGCTTTGGAGGCTATCCTGGAACTAGCTCTTGTAGACCAGGCTGGCTGTAAACTCAGAGATCCACCTGCCTCTGCCTCCCAAGTGGTGGATTAAAGGCATGTATCACCACTGCCTGGTCCACAAAATAATTTTCTTTTCTTTTTTTTTTTTTGGTTTTTCGAGACAGGGTTTCTCTGTGGCTTTGGAGGCTGTCCTAAAACTAGCTCTTGTAGACCAGGCTGGCCTCGAACTCACAGAGATCCGCCTGCCTCTGCCTCCCGAGTGCTGGGATTAAAGGCGTGCGCCACCAACGCCCGGCTCAAAATAATTTTCTTAACTAAAAAAGAAAAGGGTAGGGCCAGACAGATGTCTCTTAAGAACGTATACTTTGCGCCACTCATTGATGGCCCACGCCTTTAACCCCAGCACTAGGGAGGCAGAGGCAGGCGGATCTCTGTGAGTTCGAGGCCAGCCTGGTCTACAGAGCGAGTTCCAGGACAGCCTCCAAACAATACAGAGAAACCTTGTCTCAAAAACACAAAAAACAAAAAAACAACAAAAAAAGAATGTATACTTTGCATTGGGTGGTGGTGGCACACGCCTTTAATCCCAGCCCTCAGGAGGCAGAGGCAGGAGGATCTCTATGAATTTGAGGCAAGCCTGGTCTACAGAGTAAGTTCCAGGACAGCCTCCAAAGCTACACAGAAAAACCCTGTTTTGGAAAAAAAACAAAACAAAAAAACAAAACTGTGTGAGTAGTATAATTCCCAGCACCATGTCAGGAGGCAGTTCACAACCTAACTCAAGGAAATCCAGTGCCTCTAGCCCACCTCAGCCATTTACATTCACATGCATAAATCCACACACACACATAATTTAAGATACATTTTTTTTGTTTGTTTTCTGAGACAGGGTTTCTCTGTGGCTTTGGAGGCTGTCCTGGAACCAGCTCTTGTAGACCAGACCTGCCTCTGCCTCCCAAGTACAGGGATTACAGGCTTTTGCCATCACCTGTCCAGCCTAAAATACAAATTTTTAAAAAGTAAATAAAAGCTAGCACAGTCCCAGCAATTATACCCTGATATCCAGGAAGTATTTAATGCAGATCTGAAAGATACTTTGAAAGGCCAAATCATTGACACTTTACTTGAAGAAAAAAGTAGCCAACACATAATATACATCCTTCAGGAACACTAAAATGTTTCTTTAAAAAAAATCCTCTCAGCCGGGCGTTGGTGGCGCACGCCTTTAATCCCAGCACTCAGGAGGCAGAGGCAGGCTGATCTCTGTGAGTTCGAGACCAGCCTGGACTACCAAGCCGAGTTCCAGGACAGCCTCCAAAGCCACAGAGAAACCCTGTCTGGGGGGGGGGGGGGGACCCTCTCATTCTGCTCAAAGCAAAATATACTTCAAACAAAAAGAAAGAGACCAGGCACCCTGCTACTGGTATTTGTTCTCTAATTAGAACACAGATGCAAAATCCATACTGAAGAAAATCATTCCTTTGTCCTACTTCTTTTAAAGACTGATCATACTTATACATACTTATATAGCCCTTACCTGGAACTCACTCAGATGTGATTGTGTCAACCTCCTGAGTGCTGGACTTAGAGGTGTGTGCCACTACTGCCTTCTTTGATCATTTTGAAAAGGAAGGCTTGACTGTAAATGTAACTGTTTTCATTAATTTATACATTTAAAATATTCCCTAAGAAATGCAAGTTAAGCCGGGTGGTGGTGGTGCACGCCTTTAACCCCAGCATTCGGGAGGCAGAGGCAGGCGGATCTCTGTGAGTTCGAGGCCAGGCTGGTCTGACAGCCTTCAAAACAAACAGAGAAACCCTGTCTCATAAAACAAAACAAAACAAAAAAAACAAAAAAAGAAAGAAAGAAAGAAATGCAAGTTAAAATACTCTTATACATTGCTGGTTATGACAACCTTAACATAATTTTGATTTATGTTAAAATAGGGCATTTAGCTGAGTGTGGTGGCCTAGTCTTTTAATCATAGCACTTAGGATGTAGAGGCAGATCTCTATGAGAGCAAAGTCAGCCTGGTCTACATTGTGAGTTCCAGGCCAGCAAGAGCTACAAAGTAAGACCCTGTATAAAAACTAAAAAAGCCAACCAAACAACAAAAACCCCAACCAAAGAGAAAGATCATGTATGTATGCACCACTAGGCAGGAATTCTTTCAGGTACTTGTGTCCCCGTGCCACCATATATTAAGAACAAGGTTACCAGCCAGGCTGTGGCGGTATACATCTTTAATCCCAGCACTCCAGAGGCAGAGAGGCAGGCGGATCTCTGTGAGTTAGAAGACAGCCTGGTGTAGAGCTGGAGAGACCGCTCAGCCGTTAAAGGCTAGGCTCATAACCAAGAAGACGGCAGGGTCTAAAAGCGAGTTCCAGAATAGCCAGAGCAACCCTATCTGTAAAAATGAAAAACAAACTAAAAAAGGTCACTACTATAGAACAATTTAATGTGAAAACCCATCAAGAACTGAGAAACTAACGATAAAATGTTCTGTGTAGATAAAACAGAAGCCTATAGCAATAAACTGAGTAAGATCTTGTCTTAGATACTATTACTATTAGTGTTACTACCTATTTTTTGAATTCATTTTATACTCTAACCACAATTCTCCCTCCCCTTCCCCCCAGGCCACTCTCTTTGTCTTTTAAGCTAAGCAATTAAACAAAGGTAGATGACATCATCACCAAGTTGAGGTGGGGAAGTGTCCACTGAGGGTATGAGGCATACCTGTTCTGCCTGATTTTTACTTTTAGAGAACCACAGAAAAGCACAATCCTGATGGTCCCAACCTTCCATTCCTGTTGCTGGGTTCAGAGAGCATTTCTCTAGCACCCAACAAAACCCTGGCACTATGGCACTATGCAGGTAAGCTATAAATAAGAACTATGTGCCAGGTATGACACAAGAAGCACAATGACACCAACCATGCATATACACACTATTTTCTCATTTATTCCCCACCCCTGCACTTCCTGCTTTAATAATCTTGCTTTGTCAAAGGTCTAAGTTATGGCTTTCCTGAGTTCCCCCAACTTACCCACAGACCATCCCAAAGTCATCTCCCTCCAATTTCATCTCTTATGGAATTCATCACAATCAATGGGAAGAGGAGGGTTTAGAAAGAAGGTTCAGCAGTTAAAGCACTTACTTGCTGCTTTTCCAGAAGAGCCAGATTTGATTCCCAGCACCCACCTGATACCTCACAATTGTCTGCAATTTCTGTTCTAGGGGATCTGACACCCTCTTCTAGCCTCCATGGACAATGTCCACAAGTAAAAAATGTTTACAGTTTCCACAAGTTCTGTAATGTGCAGGCACACACACCCCCACCCCAATAGGTAAATCAAAAAGGAGTTTGAGAAACAAATGTCTATGTGAGCTATATAAAAGATGGATACAGGTCCTTTTAACTTGAATATATAATACTAAAAGTAATATAAGCTGTGAGCAATGATATCTGAACTTAGGTATACTAATGGTAACAAACATACAACTCTGGTGGGTGGATGACGATAATAGAAGAACTGTAGAGGATAATTTGGAAATCTCTGTCCCTATTTTTGACTACAGTCAGCCACAAAAGATTATTATTGGAATGAAAGAACATAGACATGGCTTAACATTTGTCCAAAGTGTAGGAAGAGAATTAGGACTCCGCCATTAGCCATATGGCCCACTAGAGGCGCATAAGGATGTGGTAATGATAGGGTGGTTCACCGCGTCGCTAACCACACCCACTTTGGGAGTAACTAGAGACACATATGGATGTGATAATGAAAGGGCGGTGAACTACATCACTAGCCAGGCCTACTTTTGGGCGTGGCTAGGTGTGCATGGAGGTTCTTATAAAAGACTGCGGCAGAGCTACTCTCTTTTCAGCTTCTGGTCCGGTAGCGAAGGCTACTTGATTCATCTGGGTTGCCCGTTTTCTCTTGTAATGAAAGACCCCTACCCAGGACCCCCTAGGAAAAGAAAAGCAAGGCCAGGCCATTGCCTAATGAAAAAACCCAGACCAGGTACCTCGCCCAGCTGGCAGGATGTCAAACAGGATCTGTGGTCACCAGAGCAGTCATGGGACCTGGATAATAATTGCTGAAGCGTGCCAGGGTCTTTTATGTGGCAATACCAGGACACCTAGTCCTTGGCAACTACCCTTGCCCCCAGTTGTGTCTATGATCACCATAGTAGTCATGGGACCTGGATAATAATTGCTGAAGCGTGCCGGGGTCTTTCATGAGGTAATACCATGAAATTTAGTCCGTGGGAACTACCCCTGGCCCCAAGATGAGCCAATAAAATGCTCTTGCTATGCTGATACTTACGTAACCATTAAAACTCTATAAATATTGTACTCCCTACAAGCCCGGTATGCTCTGCACCCGAGTTGCAGTAGCATCCGCAGGCGCCTGTGTACTCAATAAATCACCTCTTGCATTTGCAGCCAGTGGTCTGGCCCCGGTTCTTGGGCAGAGGGTTTGGTTCTGTGCCCGGCGCTTTGATGCCGAGGTCTTTCAGTAAGTAATTTCTACAATAAACAGTTACCTATACCCTCACCAAGTATGCCATTTATTGTTACAGCTACACAAATGGCCAACATTACATTTCCCTATCAACACTTTTCTTGTAGTCCAGACTAGCCTCAAACTCTGCTCATACCTATAACTGGGAGGCTAAGGTAGAGGGATGATTCTTTTTTTTTTTTTTTTTAAGATTTATTTATTTATTTATTTATTACATATACACCAGATTGAATTGTAGATGGTTGTCAGCCACCATGTGGTTGCTGGGAATTGAACTCAAGACCTCTGGAAGAGCAGTCAGTGCTCTTAACCTCTGAGCCATCTATCCAGCCCTAGAGGGATGATTCTAAATTTCAGGCTAACTTTGGTTGTGTTCCAGGTCAACCAGGACTGTAAAGTCAGACAATGTTTCAAAACAAAACAAGTCAGGTGGTAGTTGTGCACACCTTTAATCCTAGCACTCAGGAGCAGAGGCAGGAGGATCTGAGTCAGAGGCTAGTCTGGTCTACAGAATGAGTTCCAGGACAGCCAGGGTTGTTATGTACACAGAGAAACCCTGTTTTGGGGTAGTGGAAGGAAGAGGAGGAGGAAGAGAAAGAAAGAAAAAAGAAAGATTGATTGATTGCTACTAATCCAAAGAACCCAAGTTTGGTTCCTAGCACTCAAATGGCAGCTCACAAAAATGGGTAATTCCAGTTCCAGAGGAATCAATCCCCTCTTTTGATCTCCTAGGGGTATCAGACACAATGTACATACATAGTGCACACACACGTTAAGCAAAACATAGATACACATGAAAAATTAAAATGTAGAGGGAAGGGGAGGGGAGGGCAGGAGAGACAGGTGGTGCATGCCTTTAATCCCAGTACCTGGGAGAAGCAAGAAAATCTTTGTTGAGTTTAAGGACAGCTATGTCTGCATATTAAGTTCCAGGACAACAGGATTATATAAAGAAACAATGTCTCAAAACCAACCAACAACCAACCTCTGCTTCTTTTTTCTTTGCACGAACTTTCTCCACTTCCATAAGGATCTTCTGGGACTCATCCACATTTCCTTCAGCTCCTAGCTGCTCTGCTTTAGCAAGAAGTTTTCCTATTTCTTCATTCAACTCATGTACCTTTTCTGCCTAAGGACAGAGAATCAGATAAAAACATCAAACTCAATACTTGGAGTTCCAAATAAAGTAAGTATTTCTCGCCGGGCGTTGGTGGCGCACGCCTTTAATCCCAGCACTCAGGAGGCAGAGGCAGGCGGATCTCTGTGAGTTCGAGGCCAGCCTGGTCTACAGAGCGAGTTCCAGGACAGCCTCCAAAGCCACAGAGAAACCCTGTCTCGAAAAACCAAAAAAAAAAAAAAAAAAAAAAAAGAAGTGATATGTTGGTCACATTCTGTATCTCTTTATGTCTTTTGGGCAGGGGTAGTAAAATGGCAAGGTTTACCACACAAATTTAGGCTACAAGCAAAATATTTAATTACTAGGACTCTCTAGTACACTAGCATCTTCTTTTAATTAGTAACTGCATATAGCCAAAGAAATGCTTCTGTCCTGAGCCTGGTTGTGCATGCCTTTAATCCCAGCATTCAAGAAGCAGGAAAATCTTATGAGTTCAAGGTTGGCCCAGGCTGCTTATTAAGACTCTGTCTGAAAAAGGAAGAAGGCAGGCAGGCTCCTGTGACATACAAATTATTGCTCACAGACCCTTTCCACTGGGTAGAAAGCACCATCTACCCCAAATTTCCAACTAGTTTGAAGGTAAGACAAAAGTGATTATAGCAGTCACTTAATATACCTTTGCAGAAACTTCTGCACTGATCTCCTCCTGTGTTTCTGCCAGCCGCTTCTTGGCAAGTTCAGTTCTCCGATCACACTCTGCAATGAAGGACTCTAAGTGATCCATCGCCTAGTTTGGGAAAAACAGAGAGCTATGACCAATGCTGCATTTTTTTTTTCTGGCCATTTTTATGACTTTCATTTGGGAATAGGAATGCTAGAGATTAAACCCAAGACCACAAGTATGCTAGGAAGGCACTCTCAATTACATCTACAGACCAATTTCCCCAAGCTGGCCCAAAATTTGCTATGAACTCCAGACTGGCTTTGAATTCAAAATCTTCTTGCCTTAGCCTCTGAAGTGCTGGATGACAGGTATGCACACTACACTCTGCCAATACTTTATAGTCTTGGCATATATGTATGTATGTAATAAGAACACAAATCTACGTTTATTTCTTTGTTTTGCTGTTCTGTTTTGAGAAAGGGTCATACTATATAGTCTCATGGGCCTGAAATACTTCCTATGTATGTTAGCCAGACACACTCGCTTAATCCCACCACTCAGGAGGAAGAGATAGGCAAGTCTGTGAGTTCCAGGCCAACGAAGGTTTCATATGAAACTTGGTCTCAAAAAAAAAAAAAAAAGCAAAACATTTTTTAAAGCTGGGGGGGGAAGCACACCTTTAATCCCAATACTTGGGAGGCTGAAGCAGATGGATCTCTGTGTGTAAGAGGTTGTTACACAGAGAAAACCTGTCTCGAAACCCCTTCCCCCCAATATTTTTTTAAATTGCAATTCCTATCTCTGCTATTGACATTTATAGTGACAGAATGAGCTGATACTCTACTTACAAATAATGATAGTTAATATAATTATAATCATCTTAAACCAAATGGCTATATGATTTACTTATTTCCAAAATTTGTAAAAGGATCTCCAACTCTCTGCAACATTACCAAGAAAATACATTGAGGGAATTGCAAACATAAGGACTTGAGCTCAGTCCCTCAAAAGTCTACACATGACACTGATCCTTTATAATCCAAGCACTGGGGAAGTGGAGATAATGAACTCAATGTTTAAAAATCTAAAACACGTAATGGTAACACACAACAAAACAAGCAACCCAAATCATGGAGTGTCTTCTACGAGGTATGCTCTTTTAAAAAGCAATTCTGGAGGCTGGAGAGATGGCTCAGTGGTTAAGAACACTAGCAGGTTTTCCTGAGTTCAATTCCCAGCAATCACATGGCTCACAACCATCTGAAATGAGGTCTGGTGCCCTCTTCTGGCCTGAAGGGACAGCAAGTCTCTTTGCAGTCCCTTTCTCTCTTTTAAACGTTTTTCAAGTGTAGATTAGTTAAACAAGGACAAATTTAAACGATAGAAGATGAGCCCAAAACTCAGATTCTTTTTTTTTTTTTTGAGGGGTGTTTTCAAGATAGGGTTTCTCTATACAGCCAGCCCTGGAATTGGAGATCTGCCTGCCTCTGCCTCCCAAATGTTGAGATTTATTATGTATACAGGGTTCTGCAGGCATACATGCCTGCAGAAGAGGGCATCAGATCTCATTACAGATGGTTCTGAGCCACCATGTGGTTGCTGGGAATTGAACTCAGGACCTCTGGAAGAGCAGCTAGTATTCCTTGTTTCTCTGTGGCTTTGGAGGCTGTCCTGGAACTAGCTCTTGTAGACCAGGCTGGCCTCAAACTCAGAGATCCGCCTGCCTCTGCCTCCCGAGTGCTGGAATTAAAGGCATGAGCCACCAAAGCCTGGCGAGCAGCTAGTATTCTTAACCACTAAGTCATCAGAGTCATCAATTCAGCCCAATGAAACTAATTTCTAAAACCACGCAGGCATATTCAATCCTGCATAATATCCAAATAAATATGTTTTGTTTTGAGGGAGGAGAACAGACAACAGTTACACTATATATCCTGGCTAGCTCTGAACTTTACTATGCCAGCCTTTTTTGTTTTGTTTTGTTTTTATGTTTTTACGTTTTTACGAAACAGGGTTTCTCTGTATTGTTTTCGAGGCTGTCGATCCAGCCTAGTCTCGAACTCACAGAGATCCGCCTGCCTCTGCCTCCCCAGTGCTGGGATTAAAGGCGTGCCAGCCTTAAACAACAAACTTTCTACTTCAGCCTCCTGAGTGCTAGGATTACAGGTGAATATTCTCAGTTTTAGTATTCTTGTAGAAAAGTATCAACTTTAGGCAAATGTCTAATTACAGCACTTGGGAGAGAGAGTCAAATCCATAGCTACACACACACACAAAAGTGGCTTTAAACTTTTAAGGGTGACATATTCCTTAAATTCCAGTGCTCAGGGGATAGACAAGTGCAGCTCTCCTGTGAGTTTGAGGCCAGCCTGGTCTACCTAGTGAGATTCAAGACAACCAGTACTACATTGCAGACCTTGTATCAAATAACAACCAAAAACAGGAAAAAGAAAAGAATTTATAATAAGAACTTATATGCAATGTTTGAATCTACCCATGACATCATTCTAGAAGTTTTCTATGAATACAACACGCATGTTGGTTTCATGTTTGTTTGTTGCCAGTATAGAGTTTCATAATGACATTGCTCCTGGGGACTGCTCTGAAATATGGCTAAAGGAAATCAACCAAGGAATGTTTGCAGAAGTAATAGTAACCTGATTCTTGGGCTGTCTCCAGAGAACAAGCAAGGCATGATCGATAAACAGAACCAAAAAGTGCTTTGTGGAACTGGAGCGATGGCTCAGTGGTTTAAAATTCAGCCGGGAGTTGGTGGCGCACGCCTTTAATCCCAGCACTCGGGAGGCAGAGGCAGGCGGATCTCTGTGAGTTCGAGACCAGCCTGGTCTACCGAGTAAGTTCCAGGACAGCCTCCAAAAGCCACAGAGAAACCCTGTCTCGAAAAACCAAAAAAAAAAAAAAATTAAAGCTACTCCTGAGTAAGACCCAAGTTTGTCAGGTGACTCACAACTGCATGTAATTCCAACTCCAAGGGAATCTGATCTGGTCTCCACAGGCACCTGAACACACATAACACACATACCCACATATGGATATAATTAAAATAAATATTTTTTAAAGGTGCTTGTGTTTGTATTGCTCATGTTGCTCTAAGCATTTTGGGGTAGGAGTTGGGCTGGAGGGCCAACACATGAGAACAGACTCCATTACCCTCAACTCATACCATATCCAAATTCTATGCTCTTCTGCTAAACAGTAGTAAACAAATATTTTTAAATTTTTAATTTTATACATATTTTCATGTCTGTATGTGGCTGTGTAAATGAGTACAGGTATCCATGGAGTCCAGAAGAGGGCAATGGATCTCTTGGCACTGGAGTTACAGGCAGTTGTGAGTCACCCAACATGAATGATAGAAACCAAGCTCCAGTCTTTTGTAAGAGAAATGTGTGCTCTAACCTCTGAAACATCTCTCCAGCCCCATGAAACTGTTCTTAACACCAATGTCCTTAATCCCTCCTATGAATAGATGTTTTTGCTACTTCTTCACTAATTGCAAATGACCCAGTAAACAGTTCACTTGTCACACATACACACAAGTATTTCTTTTGAGCAAATTCCTTTCCTCCCTCTCACCTTCCCTTCCCCTTCACTTTTCTTTTGAAGGTGCTAGAGATCAAACCCAAGACCTTCCACAAGCTATGCAAATGGTCTATCACTAAGCATGCTCTACCTTTAGAACAGGCTGAACAATTTTTAACAATTCTTTAGAAGTAACCCATTATATCCTATAATCCTATTACCGAAGCAAGAAGATTTTGAGTTTGATGCAAAACTGAACTACTTGGTAAAATTCATTAAAATACCAACTCAAGAGGTTGGGGAGATGGCATGTGCCATCCAAGCATGGGAACCTGAGTTCAATCCCCAGCACTCACTTTAAAAAGCTTGGTGTTGGGCTAGAGTGATGGCTCAGAGGTTAGGAGCACTGACTGCTCTTTCAGAGGTCCTGAGTTCAATTCCCAGCAACCACATGGTGGCTCACAACCACCTGTAATGAGATCTGGTGCCCTCTTCTGGTATGCGCATACATACATGGAGGCAGGATGTTGTATTCATAATAAATAAATAAATCTTTAAAAAAAAAAAAAGCTTGGTGGCATCAAGAGTGGTGGTACATGTCTTTAATTCCAGCACACAGAAGGAAGAGGCAGGTGGGTCTCTTGTGACTTTTGAGGACAGCCTAGTCTACACAGTGAGTTCCAGGAGAGCCAGTAAAGGAACCCTGTCTCCCAAAGGAGGGGGGCTTGATATAACAGCACATACTTATAGTCCCTAGCTCAAGACTAAGTTAAAATTTTTTATAAATATTCTGCTTGCATGTATGTCTACATATCCCATGTGTACAGTGCTGCCAAGGCCAAAAAGCAGTGTCAAATTCCCTGGAATTGGAGTTATACACAGCTATGAGCCATCCCTCAGGTGATGGGAAACAAAGCCAGGTACTTTAGAATAACCAGTAATCTCAAATACTTAGCCATCTCTCTAGTGCCAAAAATAAGTACATTTCAAAACCAATAAAACTGCTGAGCCTGGTGTAACACACCTTTAATCCTAGCAGAGACAGGAGGATCTGAATTTAAGGTCAGAAAGGGCTACAGTGAGGTTGTCTCAAAATAAATACGTGAAATATTTAAAAACTGTTCAATACCAATTGGGGATATAACCCAGTAGGTAAAATGGTTGCCTACTAGGTATAAAGTCTTAACTTTGATCCCAACCATGACATAATCTGACTTGGTGGGAAGCAGAGGGAGAGGAGAACTTAACTATATACCAAAATTGAGGCCAGCATGAGCTACATGAAATACTATCTCAAAAGAGGACTTTTATATATAAAGGAAATTAGACCATCCCTGTACATATTTGAAATAACTTGTCTTAGTTTACAGGATTATTTTATACATTACTTCTTACATATATGGTGTTCTGCCTGCACACCAGAAGAGGACAACAGATCTCATTACAGCTGGGAATTGAACTCTTAACCTCTGAATCATGCGCTCTAGCCCTAGTTTCCAAGGGCTGGGGAGGAGAGTTCTAACATGGTAAGTGTCAGGAACACAACCAATTTTTTCATTTTTCTCTTATAAGAGATATAGCCAGTTGTGTTCACATCTTTAAATCCAGCACACAAGAAACAAAGGTAGGTTAACTCTGAACTCAAGACCTATCGGAATCTATATGAGTTCCAGGCCAAACAGAGCTACACAGTAAAAGCCTGGCTAAAAATAAAATAAACCAAAAAGTAAGACTAGCCGGGCGTTGGTGACGCACACCTTTAATCCCAGCACTCAGGAGGCAGAGGCAGGTGGATCTCTGTGAGTTCGAGGCCAGCCTGGTCTACAAAGCGAGTTCCAGGACAGCTTCTAAGACAATACAGAGAAACCCTGTCTCGAAAAGCCAAAAAAAAAAAAAAAAGACTAAATATTTTTGGAAGATACAACCTGTTTCTTTTCTAACTGCTTAATCCATAGTGTAAACAAACCACAAACTCCACAATGGTTGAATATGCTCTTCATATATACTAATCACATCATGTATGCTTCAGTTTCTTGCTAAGAGCTCAACTTCTGTATCATTAATGAGGTCATTTCAAAAAGGCATTGAACTGGGCAGTGGTAGTGCATGCCTTTAGTTCCAGTACTTAGGAGACAAAGGCAGGCAGATCTGAGTTCAAGGCCAGCCTGTTCAACTGAGTTCCAGGACCACCAGAGCTACAGATAGAAAATCCTATCTTGAAAAACCAACCTGTTGCTCACGACCCCCTCCAAACCTCCCAACCCCCCCCAAAAAAAGAAGGCATGGAAGGCAGCATAGTGGCTCATGCAATATAATCCTAGAATTCAGGGAGATAAAGCAAGAGGATCAATCATTAAAAGATCAAGCTGGGCCGGGCGTTGGTGGCGCACACCTTAAACCCCAGCACTCGGGAGGCAGAGACAGGTGGATCTCTGCCTGGTCTACAAAGAGAGTTCCAGGACAGCCTCCAAGAGACAATACAGAGAAACCCTGTCTTGAAAAACCAAAAAAAAAAAAAACAAAAAACAAAAAAGATCAAGCTGGGAAACAGTGAGTTCCAGCCACCCGAGCTGGCAATGTGAGACGCTCTTTAAAGAAAAAAAAAAGGGGGGGGGGGGGTAGAGAAATAGATCAGTGGTTAAGAGCTATTGTTCTCCAGGTTCACAATACCCATAAGATATTGGGTAGCTCACAACTGTCTGTTTAACTCCAGTTCTGGGAATTCAATGCCATTTTTTAGCCTCCATAGACTTCAGTTATACACAAAGTACACAACATATATAGAGACAAAACATCCATACGCACAAAATAAAAATGACCCTAATAAATAAAAACTAGAGCTGGGGAGATGGCTCAGAGGTTAAGAGCACTGGGCTGCTCTTCCAGAGGTCCTAAGTTTAATTCCCAGCAAACACATGGTGGCTCACAACCATCTATAATGAGATCTGGTGATCTCTTCTGGTGTGCAGGCAAATATGCAGACAGAACACTGTATATGTAATAAAAATAAGTAAATAAAATAAAAAACAAAAAAATAGCTAAATAAAAACTAAGAGGCTGGAGAGACAATTCAAGGTTAAGAACACTGGATACTCTTCCAGAGGACCAGATTCTATCCCCTAGCACCTACATGCTACCTCATTAACCATCCCTAACATGCCAGGGAATCCTTTTGACCTCTAATGATATGAGACACACAGATAGTACAGACATACAAGCAGACAAAATGCCCATATTAAGTATAAATATGTAAGCTGTGCGTTGGTGGCGCACGCCTTTAATCCCAGCACTCGGGAGGCAGAGGCAGGCAGATCTCTGTGAGTTCGAGGCCAGCCTGGTCTACAGAGCGAGTTCCAGGACAGCCTCCAAAGCCACAGAGAAACCCTGTCTCGAAAAACCAGAAAAATAAATAAAAATATATAAATATGTGTGTGTGCGCACACGTGTGCACATTGACATTTTGCTTTAATACATGCAAAAAGATATATTTCTTAAAGTGAGATTTTAATCTATCCTATCACTTTTTGAAACTTGACATCTTTTTGTTGTTTTGTTTTTCAAGACAGGGTTTCTCTGTGTAGCCTTGGCTGTTCCTGAACTAGTTCTGTGTCTGCAGGCCAGGCTGGCCTAAATAAAACCTGCCTGCCTCTCTCTCTTGAGTGCTGGGATTAAAGGCATGCACCACCACCATCTGTGGACAGCTGTATCTTACGGTAACAGTCATTTTGCTAAAAATTTCCAGGGACTGGAAATAACTGGTAGAATGCTTGCCTAACATGCATGAGGCTCTGAGTTCAATTGTTAACACTACATAAATTATCATGATGGCACATGGCTCTGTAACCCTAGCTCAGGAGTTCAAGATCATCCTTGGCTACATAGCATATGCTACCAGCATGGGCTATATATAAGACACATGAAGAAAAAAAAAAAATCAAACAATGAAATAAAATTCAATATAGTAATAAGTAGAGAGTCACATAAATACAAGGTAGTATCTGCTATGGGATACAACTTAAGATTTTTTAAAATATTTATTTATTGTGCATACAGCCTTTTGTCTGCAGGTCAGCAAAGGGTACCAGATCTCATTCAAGGTGGTTGTGAGCCACCATGTGGTTGCTGGGAATTAAACTCAGGACCTCTGAAAGAACAGTCAGTGTTCTTAACCGCTCAGCCATCTCTCCAGCCCACAACTTAAGATTTTTAACAAGTGCTTATTTAATTATTTTGTTTTTTAGCTTACAAACATTACAATACTTTCAATAGTGATTGATACTTTGTAGCATGAATAAACATCCGAAAAATCTTACATCTAATTCAAAAAACAGGTCTCTTTCTTTACTTGCAATTTCATAATCTGCTCGGAGGGCCAAGTCGTGGATTTTGGTACATTCTCCTAAATCCATGCGCTGTGGGAAATAAAAAATTAAAACAACTTATTCATTCTAGAAAGCATGTAATCAATATAATTTAGCATTTCAACTTTCACTGAAATAGTTTTGTAGATAACAAACTAAGCGCACACCTTTAATCCTAGCACTCGGGAGGCAGAGGCAGGCAGATCTCTGTGATTTGGAGACCAGCCAGCCTGGTCTACAGGAGCTAGTTCCAGGGGAGTCTCCAAAACAATAGAGAAACCCTGTCTGAAAAATCAAAATTAAATAATTAATTTTAAAAAAAAGAGGGCTGGATTGCCGGCCGTTGGTGGTGCACACCTTTAATCCCACCAACACCCGGCTTTCTAGCATATTTTCATTCATACAAACACATACACACACTTAATTTTTATTTATATATAGGCCTGAGTACATGTCTACAGAGGGCAGAAGAATGCCTTGGATCCTCTGGAACTGAAATTATAGGTGGTTATGAATCTTCCTGATATTGGTGCCAGGAACTGAACCCAGGTCCTCTGAAAGAACAGCAAATGCTCTTAGTTGTGGAATCATGTTTTCTTTTTTCTTTTTTTAAAGATTTATTTATTTGCCAGGCATTGGTGGCGCACACCTTTAATCCCAGCACTCAGGAGGCAGAGGCAGGCGGATCTCTGTGAGTTCGAGGCCAGCCTGGTCTACAGAGCGAGTTCCAGGACAGCCTCCAAAGCCAGAGAAACCCTGTCTCGAAAAACCAAAAAAAAAAAAAAAAAAGATTTATTTATTTTATGTATATAAGTGCCCTATCTGCACATATGCCTTTATGCCAGAAGAGGGTATCAGATCCCACTGTAGATGGTTGTGAGCCACCATGTGATTGCTGGAAACTGAATTAAGAACCTCTGGAGCCGGGCGGTGGTGACGCAGGCCTTTAGTCCCAGCACTCGGGTAGCAGAGGCAGGCGGATCTCTGTGAGTTTGAGGAAAAAACCAAAAAACAAAAACCCTCTGGAAGAGCAGCGAGTGCTCTTAACCACTGAGCCCAGAGTCATGTTTTCAGTCCAGTCCCTGTTTGTTTTCCGTTTAAAATGTGTATTTGTTTGTGTCTGTCTTTTTATGTAGGTGCCAAAGTGTCCATATAGAAGTCAGGACAGTTTGGAGGAGTGGTTCTTTCTGGGGATTGAACTCAGATTGTCAAGTGACTTTTTCTGCTGAGTCATCTTTTCAGCCCCGAATATAAAAGTCAAGCAGATAAGCAGATATCACATTGATTGCATATTTTTGTAATTCAAGAAATCTATACTATGCACTTTTTTTTTTTTTGGTTTTTCGAGACAGGGTTTCTCTGTATTGCTTTGGAGTCTGTCCTGGAACTTGCTCTGTAGACAAGGCTGGTCTGGAACTCACAGAGATCTGCCTGCCTCTGCCTCCCGAGTGCTGGGATTAAAGGCATGTGCCACCAACTCCCGGCAATCTATACTATGAAATTTTTAAAAAGAAAATATTACTCTTTGATGAAACAAAAACATCACATCTACTGTTCCACCCCTTCTGAGTGACCCATAAGCCTCTGGAATGCACCTACCGTCCCAGCCAGGATGTCATGGGGGCAGCAATCCAGAAGGTGACTCTTGCAGACTCGGTCATCTGTAAACTTGACCCTCTGTCTGGTTTCATCTCCTGAAATTCATTTGTGCTTTTAAATAACGTATTATCTCATTAACTACACAAGGTTATCTGGCACAACAACACACCTGGATGATTGGCAGACTAGCATTTCTGTATTCTCCCCACCATATACACTAAGAAACTGACCTAAAGATATTTACAATAGAAAATGGAATACATTTTTAAGCTAAGATGCACACTTAATCACATCTAACTCCATCATTATGTCAAGGAGTCAGAAGTAAGAGTGAGTACCAAAAGGTATCTGCCCAAATATACATGTGGGCAATGAGACACTAAGACCCATGTAATCAGAGTGCCATGAATCTATCACGTAGGACTTTGAGCTGGTAATTTCCACCAACCGAAGCTATTTATTCTTTTTATTGTAGTCAAATTAATAGGCAGTGTTTTGCCAAAAACTACAAGAGGAAGAAGAAAGCTTTCAAGCTCTATCATTGACTGTTAAATCTCTGTAGACGTTTTCTTCTTATTCCCCTTTCATTCCCACCCTTAAAAGGAAAGTTGGCACCTGGGAGTCACTTTTAACAAGACAATACCAAAGAAAGCAAAAAGGAATCAGGTTAGTCAATACACACTGTGAACGCCAACACATACTGTACCCATCTGCATTCTTGAGGAACTCAGCTGCAGAATTTTATGCCCGCTGTTGAAAAGTTTTAAAGGAAAAGTTTTCTTGCCCACACCTGCAGTAAGGAAGTCAGGGGGAATGATACATAAAAGTAAAGGCAAAGTGGTATGTGACAAATTTTAAGGCTAATCTGTGTATAGGACACAGTGAGGTGTAATAGTCAAGGAGGAATATATTTCAGGATCTGCAAGCATCCAGGATTAATGTAGTGTCTTTTTACTGAAAATGTTTTCTTTCTAAACTACACTTTAAAAGTTACTTGTGGAAAAAAAGCAAACACTTTTTTGTTATAACAGCTTAGAAATTGGTTGTGACTCACGGCTCGATGAACATGAGGCTTTTCTGCAACTCCCTTGCAGATTGATGTAGGCAGGCAAAGATACACTGAACCTTTATAAATAAAATAGAGGGGCCACAATTGTTCAGTTTGTATGAAATAAAAATATGGGAAGCAATTCAAAAGCAACTCAACATACAAAGAAAGCTAAAAGCACTTATTGACCTATGAAATAAGGTGCAAAGAATCTGCACAGCCCTGCGAAATGTGCCAGTGTGAAATTACAACTTCATTACTTTAGTAAAAGTGAAAACACAAACCACAGCAGGGATCTAGCTTTGCTAGGATGCAACTGCTTTCTCCTGAGACGCCACCATGATTTTGTACTCCTCCCTATAGAACCACCTACCTAACGAATGCCAAGAGCTGACCAAACCAAGGCTAGTCTGTGAGGCTGGGGAATGAGGGGTGGGAAGACTAGGAAAGTACACGGAGGAACCCACGTTAGAAGTGCTCATTTACGGCTCCCCTTGTAACCGTACGGAGCAAGAAGGCCCGGGGTTTTCGAAACCCCTCCAGCTCCTCGGGGGTCGCCTGTCCTCCGAGGAGTATCAGAGGAATTCTGCCACTCGGCAGCCAGTGCCCCGGAGCCCGCGCTGGTTCCAGCCCTTCGCCGACGCTCCAGTACGCCGGGGCGCCGAGCCACGATGCCGACCAAGAGGAATTCGCATGACGGAAAATGGGAGGGGGACAAAGCCCCACCGTCAGATCGGACTCTCAAGGAGGTGGCAGCCCGGACGAGAAGGACACGGCGGCCGCAGCAGCCTCGCAAGCCAAGCGGATCAGACAAAGGCCCAGCGCCTGGGGTCGGCGAGCCGGGGAAAGCAATGGCGCCCCGCGCAGGCGCACACTGTCACGGCCCTCGCTTCAGGCTGCCAAGCGGCCTCGCCTTACTCCCGCCCCCGCCCAGCGCCTGGACGGCTGCTCAGACTCACCGTCCCGAGCCGTGCCCATGAGCTGGTCCAGCAGGGCCCGCATCTGCGCCTGGGCGGACATGGTGGCCAGTAGGAACTGCCGCTAAGCTCCTCACAACTCTACGGCAGCAGCGGCAACAGCGGCAGAGAAAGATGGTGCTGTCGGCCTGGAGCCCGCTCGGCGCTTTCCCGCCGCGGGGAATGCTGGGAGGAAGTTCGTCGACGTTGATGCGGGTCCTGCCGGGAAATGTAGTTTGGGACAATTAGCGTCGCTCCAACCTGATTTCACCGTGGTCCCTAAAATAGCAGATTCTATTTTCTAATAAGAGTTTAGTGGAAACAAACAAAATATACTAAACTGGGCGGGGTTATTCATGCCTATAATCTCAGGAGGTAGGGGTTGTAGCCATTAAGTTCAAACCAAGGGATTTATTTGAAACACGGATGAAAAGACCACCCTAGGATGGTAGACAGATTTGTGACAATGCTGCTTACCCTATACAGACCAGTTTGAGACTGGACCTTTTTGAGTTCTAGCCCATATGTTTATTAAAGACTTCTCTGTTAGCCAGGCGTTGGTGGCGCACGCCTTTAATCCCAGCACTAAGGAGGCAGATGCAGTCAGATCTCTGTGAGTTCGAGACCAGCCTGGACTACCAAGCGAGTTACAGGACAGCCTCCAAAGCCACAGAGAAACCCTGTCTCGAAAAACCAAAAAAAAAAAAAAAAAAGACTTCTCTGTTGGTTGGAGTTTCCACAACACAGACTCATAATAATACAATATTCCCTTGGAACTGGAGTTATAAATGTACTCTTAACCTCTGAGCCATTTCTCCAACCTAAAACTCCCCTGTTAATGACTTCCCTTGGCTCTGCTCACTTGCTTTTGAAAGGGCTGACACAAAGGCTCTACTCGGATGTTGATGTTTCCTCTCTTGTATCTCACTCAGTGAACTTTATTTTTCTCCCAAGGGAAGGCTGATTAATCATTCTGTGCTCTGGCCCGTCAATGAGGATGTTCCAGTCTGATCTTATATTAGGAGATGATAGATGATATGAATTGAAGTTTCCAGAAAAAGCCCACGCCCATGCTAAGGATTCTATGAGGCTGTATGAAGGGGAAAAGGGAGAGACTAAGGATGTGGTTCAGTTGATAGAGTGCTTGCCTAGTGTACCCTAGGTTCCTTCCCCAGCACAGCATCAAACCAGGCATAGTGGTCACACGTTATTACAATAATTGGGAAGTAGAGGCAGGAAGATCAAACGTTCAACTTCATCTTCAACTACAGTGAGCTCAAGACCAGCCTGGACTACACGAACCCTTGTCTAGAAAGAAAAAAAAGGGGGAGGGAAGGAGGGAGGGAGGAAGAAAAGAGTTCCCTGAATATGGAAAAGAGTTCCCTAAATATGGAGTGTTAAAAAGTTACTGATCCTGAGTCAAATTATGATGAGTGATCCTTAGTCCTCTTATTATTATTCATTGCCTACATCTGAGTTTGAACTATAGGTGAGTCTCTGTGAGTTAGAAATCAGTCTGGCTTACATAGGGAGGTCCAGGCTAGCCAGGGCCACAGGCCAACCAAGGTTACATAGTGAACCATTTATACCTCAATTTATGGCTTAATATTTTTTCTGTAAACTATAAAAATTTCATGAGGCAGGCTTGGCATCACATGCCTTTAATCCCAGCACTCAGTGGGCAGAGGCAGGCAGATCTCTGTATGTTGCAGCATATTTGTTTAAATATGTAAAGAAGTGTTGCATTTGTTTAACTATGTAAAGATGTGTTGCTGTTTTACCTTGCTTGTCTAAGGCACCTGATTGGTCTAATAAAAAACTGACCTGCCAATAGTAAAGGAGGAGGTTTAGGTGGGACTTCCAGGAAAGGAGAGTAAGTAGGAAGAAGAATTTAGGCTAGAAAAAAAGAAAGAAAAAGAGGCCAGAGAGATGCCAGCAGCCAGACAGACAGACATGGAGGAAGCAGGGAAGTAGGACACACAGAATGAAAGAAAGGTAAAAGCCCCAAGGCAAAATGTAGATGAATAGAATTGGGTTAAATTAAGCTAAAAGAGCTAGTGGGACAAGGGTAAGCTAAGGCCAAACATTCATAATAATATATCTCTGTGTCTTTATTTGGGTGCTGGTTGGTAGCTCAAAGAAAATTCCAACTGCATCTATGAATTCAAGACCAGCCTGGTCTACAGAATGAGTTCCAGTACAGCCAGAGTTATATAAAGGAACCCTGTCCAAAAAGAAAAATAAATATGAACGGTCAAACCAGAGCCATCCTAGAGAAAAAGGGCCCAAACCAGCACTGTGTGAGAACCTGACCCCATGACCTGTACAAATGGCTTATACCATTCACCTGCTGACAGGCAGGAAGGTGAGATAACTACAATGTCCCACCCCCCCCAACAGGCAGGAAGGGAAGACAAATGGCCCTGACCCTATGGGTGTGGAAATCAGGATTCTTGGCCCAGTAAGATGGAGTATGTTAGGAGAACAAAACTTACACAGGAAATACATAGCTATCACAGGCTCCCACTCCAAGGATGCAGACCCTGCCACAAGGATGCTCTCTGTGATCCAAAGGGCCTCTGATCCCCAATCCTATTCCTTTTAGCCAGTCATGTCCAAACTTGTGACCATGCTTGGGTGTGGTCAGTGCTACAGGTGGAGGTGGGGGTGGTGACCCCAGGGCAACCAACACAAAAAGTTGAAAAACAACTTTTTTCTTTTTTTTTTTTGGTTTTTCAAGACAGGGTTTCTCTGTATTGTTTTGGAGGCTGTCCTGGAACTCACTTTGTAGACCAGGCTGGCCTCGAACTCACAGAGATCCGCCTGCCTCTGCCTCCCAAGTGCTGGGATTAAAGGCGTGCGCCACCAACGCCCAGCTGAGAAACAACTTTTACGGGAACAAATGGTACAAGAGATAAACCCCTAGAAAGTTCCTGAATCCCCCTGAACTCTGGGGCCAATCAGCTTCGAACCCGTACCCCTAACCCTGTTCTGTGATCTTTGCCTTTATAAACTCCTTGATTCTGAGGCTCGAGGCCTTCTCCTGCAGCTGCTGCTTCAGTCTGTGGGACACGGTTCCTGCCTAGGTTTGAATTCAATAAAGAAACCTTGTGCACTTGCAGTCTGTGAGTCAGCTCCTTGGTGGTCTCTGGGGGTCTTGTGGAACGGGCATAAAAGATAAAAATTAAAACTTCATAAAATCTTTCTCAAGTTGGGACATGGTATTCATCAAGAATGTTTGGACACGCCGGGCGTTGGTGGCGCACGCCTTTAATCCCAGCACTTGGGAGGCAGAGGCAGGCAGATCTCTGCGAGTTTGAGGCCAGCCTGGTCTACAAAAGCTAGTTCCAGGACAGCCTCCAAAGCCACAGAGAAACCCTGTCTCGAAAAACCAAAAAAAAAAAAAAAAAAAAAAAAAAAAAAGAATGTTTGGACACGGTGGTTTGAAAGAAAATGGTTTCCATAGGCACACAGGGAGTGGTACTATTAGCATCCAGGCACACCTTCGGGAACATGGCAAGCAGTACCCTGCTCTGTATGCATGTGCAAAGGTTCCCTTCCAAGTAAGCTCTATGTGCTCCAGTCTCTCTCTCTCCATTTGCTTTCTCTATCAATCATCACAGCTCTCCCTTCCACCCCCCTCCCTAATAAACTCCCACATGGGTTTGTTGTACTCCATGACTCATTTCAAACAACACTATTAAGGGGTGTGACCTTGTTGTAATAGGTGAGGCATTGTTGGAAGAAGTGTGTCACTAGGGGTAGACTTTGAGGTCTCAGATGCTCAAGCCAGGACAGTGTCTTTTTTTTTTTTTTTTTTTTGGTTTTTCGAGACAGGGTTTCTCTGTGGCTTTGGAGGCTGTCCTGGAACTCGCTCGGTAGTCCAGGCTGGTCTCGAACTCACAGAGATCCGCCTGCCTCTGCCTCCCGAGTGCTGGGATTAAAGGCGTGCGCCACCAACGCCCGGCCCAGGACAGTGTCTTACTTGCTCTTCCTGCTGCCTGCTGATCCAGATGTAGAAGACTCAGCTACCTCTGTAGCATCATGTCTACCTGCACAATGCCATGCTCCCCACCATGACAAAAATGAACTAAACCTCTGAACTGTAAGCTAGCTATTAATCCCACTAGTTAAGAATAAGTCCACTAATACAATTTAAAGCCAAATTTGAAGCAAGCTTTAATTAAATACTGACCAAGTGGATGGGCTCTGGTCAGGTTCAACTGTGGGTTTCCAGAAGATGGCCCTGAATCAAGTTTTGCAGAAGTTTATGTATTTCCCTGAGGTACCTCCAGTGTACATCTAACCAAGGGCAAGCATACATCCTGCCTGTGAACCTCCTGGCCACATGTGATCAAGCCCATCTAGTGGGGAGGGGTCAAACGACAGAAGTGAAAACTTGTGGCTTGGTGTTGGAGAGATGGCTCAGAGGTTAACAGCACAGGCTGCTCTTCCAAAAGTACTAATTTCAATTCCCAGCAACCACATGCTGGCTCACCAACTATCTATAATCAAATGTGGTGCCCTCTTCTGGCATCCAGGCATACATGCAGGCAGAACACTGCACACAAAATAAATAAAAAAGGAAAACATTTGGCTTGTGATCATCCATGAACAATGGCCTCTAGCATTTCAGAAACTATCCTTGGGCAAGGACCTTCCAGATCAGAGACATTCTTTTGTTTGTTTCATTGATCTCTAAAGCATACTAATTAAAACTTAAAATGTAACATTGGCTCTCACACAGCCCCATTAAATGTTTTCCTTTAGAAGCGCTGCTCTGTTCATAGGTCTCTTCACAGCACTAACACCCTAAGACAAAGAGCAACCTGATTCTATGTTCTTGGGCCATGCTCACCTTTATGTTTTACACAAGAATAAACAATCAGCCGGGCGGTGGGGGCACACGCCTTTAATCCCAGCACTCGGGAGGCAGGGGCAGGCGGATCTCTGTGAGTTCGAGG